GTACTCTGTTCAAGATGTATGGTTCACAAAAGCTGTAAATTCAAAACAATCACTTTCTTCATCGCAGGTTCATCTTGAACCTTTAGGAATTGACGATTTAATGCAAATACTTCATTCTTAGTAAAAATATTGATTGTAAGATCATAAACGACTTCATGCTTCTAATTTCTAACTATCAAACCTGCTGGATATGGTCTGTACAGGACAGAGCTTTGGGAATCTAAGATAAGATGTTATGAATGCAGGATGCACATTATGTATGAAGCTAGTGGCTGATTACAGACATTGCATGTAAAACCAAACGACTTTTTCAATACGATGCAGTCCGATGTTACGTTTTGTATATTACTTCTTTAAAATACAGACACTAATCTGCACAGCAGATGTTTTTATGTAGAAGAAAGACATCATTGCAGCGAGACCGTATCATACGCAGAATATTTCCAGGGTGCATAACCAAGTGAAAAAAAAGGTCATTTGACATCAAGGAATTATTATTTTACAAAACAACAAATCACTGCCTCCTGGATCTCGTGTTTTCATTTGGTCTCTTTGGTTTCTATTTCTAATGGGCACTGTCGTGCTCTAAACCAACAAAAATAAGTATAAATCAAATGAAGGATCAGAAGAGTTATGATTCCAGTTCCTGCCACTTGGATTTGCATGTTTCCAAAAAAAAGTAATTTTCTCTCACAGTCCAAAGTAAAGAACAGGATGCAGTATAAACTGGGTTAGTCATTGTATTGGCTGAGCACTCTTTTAATGTGGTGAAATCCTAACAAAAAGAAAAAAAGTAGTTCAATTAATTTATGCAGTGGTGTAATCTGGCTCTGTATTTGAAGTGCTAAAAAATCCCAAGTCATTAACAGGAGGACAGAAGATGAAGTGGAGGCTGAGGACCTATATCAATTGTTCTTCTACAATTTATAGGTTCTGCTTTTGCTGCAGTTTTCAGTTCACAGCTGCTTTGTAAGGGGAGACTGCTGTGTAATTCAGAAAAACGTAGTTGTGTACAATTTGCAAACAGGTTTGGTCACCTCGTTGCAGAAAAGATATTGCTGCTCTGTAGTCAGTCCAGAAAACAGCGATTGGACACATTCTGGGGTTTAAGGGAATGTCCTGTGCTGACGAGCTGAAAGAACTGAACTTTATCAGGTTTGAACAGAGAAGATTCTGAAGGGGCTTAATACAAAATTCTCAAAGGCAATGACGATGTCAATACAAGGGGCTTCTTCAGAATGCAGAGTGAAACACGAACCAGATGACACAAGTGGAAACTACCGGTGAAGTGCATTTAATATGGTAAATTGGAGGTACATCTGAGAAAGGGCTCCCAGAGGATAGTTGGGGCATGAAACAAGCTATCCTGCCATGTCATTAAAGCTAATATCCTGGCTTCTTTCAACACAGGGCTGGATGTGATCCTGGGTTCAATTAGCTCCAAACTACTTAACAGGCTAGATGGGCTGAATGGTGTTCTCTTGACTGTAACTGTTTGTATGTATGCATTTCTTGTAGAGTGGAGTAGCGTAGTTTATTGCAATATGTACACGTACATTGGAATTCTTAATCGTGCCGATCTCTTGGGACATACACAGTACAACAGACAACATCCACACAATGTAGACAGCAGGAACAATAAATATTTTGTGGTAAAATAAATATGTAGTAGTGAGACCAAACAAAAACATTTTAGACCTTGCAAAAAGTGTGTAATGCAGATGTGTATTTAGGCACTGCAGTCAGCACTTGAGGATGTGTACTGCAGTGGGATAGAAGCTGTTCTTGAGTCTAGTGATCCTCACTTTAATAGTGCGGTACCGCTTGCCAGACCGCAGATGGGGAGAGCAGTTTATAGCCAGGATGGTTGGGATCCTGAATGATGGATTGGGCTTTATTGCAACAGCTGATGGTGTGGATCTCACCGATTGATGGTTTCTACTGGAAACAGATGAGCAAAATGATAGTGACACACATCACCTGGGACCATTCTAAGTATTGCAGTAACAGCAGTACAGCAGTAGTCAGCAGTCATCCTTAGACTCTTTTTTGTCTCCTGGAACATATTAGCAAAACTATTTTCTTTTTTGTTTACTGTATTCTACTTCTCAGTTGTAACCAGGAAAAACGACAATAGCCAAATAGTTACATAGATCGACGATGATGATGTTAATACATCACAATGACGTTACAAGCACCATGTCGAAAACTGCATGCAAACAATATTTTAATAATTTGATAAGTGACTAATGCAAGGATAATGAAAAAAGGCTGAGGGCTGGACACACCTCACTGCAGTCACTGTGTGTAATTGTAGTCACACATTAAAGAAATACTTTGGCAAGGAGTGCCACAAACTTAACTTCTGACTCTCAGAATAATATTTGAGAGGATAACATTTTTCAAAGAAATGGATGGGTGTGAACAAAAAGCAGTAATATTTGTAATTGCATTTCTATTTTTTTTAAATGAAATGCAGATTATCGAGTCAAAAGCAGAAATAAAAAAAAAGGAAAACACCGTTATGTGACCTTTTCGTCATCCTTCACACTTTTTCTGCCAACAAAATTAAATTATTCCATGTATGATTTGCTTCATCGCATTTGACATTCTTAAAAATCAGGAAAAAAAACCCAATTAGTTCTCAGAGGAGTGGTTTGCTCCTAGACATTTTGTATTTTTGTGTTTGCTATCTTGTGTTTTTTTTAAGTTAAATACCTCTAGTATTTAATCAACATACACATTGTGCTAATTTTTCTAGAGGTATGATTGGAGAATTAAGCGTAACTGTCTCTTTAAAAGAAACCAGTGGGAAATAAGTATTAACCAGCTGTATCACCTAGCCCTTATGACTCAATGTATCAGATCAGAAAGGCCCACAGCACTCTTCAAAATTGGTATGAAATTATATATCTCTTTTACAGAGATAGCAGAAACTCTGCCTTTTGTGTTGACTTTTACCCCAGGGCTGAGAAATGAAATACTCACTTTGCAATTTCAGCTCGTTTGCACTTGAAGTTTAATAAAGTTCATTCCACATATGGATGTACTCTTTCCTTCCTTGTTAATAGTTAACTTGTCTTAGGAAATTAGACAAACACAGCCTGTAGTTTTAAAAGTTAAATTACCACTGATTGGCAAGTTCCCAGAGAGTAGCCTGCTACCTCTTGAATCAGACAGCTTTAGACTTGTAAACTGCAGTCGGACTATTAAGGCTGCAGAGAAGCAGATGAAATATGTTCACTTGCATGAAAATGGATTTATTTTCTTTAGTAACACCAACAACACTACTTTTCTCGTTGGACAGCAGGGTTTTCTGCAAGGTTAAACTGTTTTAGCTTTTTAGTATTTGGAATATTGTGTTATTGCTTTGTCTTAGTTATTGAGACACTCAGTAAGTACACGTCCATTTTATTGTCCCGGTTTATTAATGACTTTAAAGTGTCACAGATGCAAATAATTCAGAATAGTAAAAGACAAGAATTCTTAACTACACACAATATAATACACAATGTTTTTAAAGGCATTTCATGATGGTTATCTTTTCAAAACAGGTAGATGCAGATGGGTTTTTAAGTTCATCTTGTGGTTTCAGCATGAATCTGGCAGAGTACCGAGTCAAGAAATATCAACTTTTTTTTTAGTTGAACATTTCTTAAAAACAAGCTGAGTTTGTAAAATAACTGCCTGTCTGTGCGCAAGTCGGTGGATTTCAGTTTTCTTTCCTGATTTATTCATGGACGTATTTTAGGTACAAGTAGCAATTAAATTCTTAAAACAACTTGAAAATGTAACTTGTTGATAATGAACAGAAGTCTAATACAGACATTTTAAGCTCTTCCTGTGACAGCAGCAACTTTCTTCAAGTGAAAATATGTACATCCTAGACAATGAAAAGACAATTAACAGAAAACAAACTAAATTGATTAGTGGTGTTTGTTAAAAAAGGGATTACCTACCTTCAGTATGATCAGGGAAGGAAAATGAGGTATAATTGCAGTCTGGGATTACTGCACTAGTGTAGACATTTGGATATTTGAAAGATAGAGTATCATTAGTGTTCTGTAAATAAGTAACATCACAGCATCAATGGTTAGATAGGGCTGTGAATGACATTGCTTTGGCAGTAGAATCCGTCATGAAAACAAGGGGTTTGGCACAGTACTGAAAATGTATTTCACAGGGCAGGAGTTCGGTTTTAACACAGGTCTTGTTTGTGTGGTATTTTCTTAGCTGTGAAACATTGTGAGACAGTGTCTGGATTTAAAAACTCCAAACTTCTTCATTTTTAGATCATGTGATGGGGATAACATATTTGTTTTGAGCTTTTTCCAGAACAATTCTATGTCATGCAGCAGCTATAGTGTAGACATGATACTGTATATCCTGTTAATTGTCTAATTAGACGTGACAGGTTTTCTTTGATGTGTTTTTAGAATCATCATCATTTTTGGGAGTACTCAGTTTCTTGTAAATGAACAAGGACAAGTTTTAAGGAGGCGTTGGCAACAGAAATTCTGCCTGTGCACCACATAGTTTTAGATGGTATTAAAATTGGAACCAATTAAGGCTGGTTTTGTAAAAGGCAGTTATAAACAAACTGCCAGTAGTCTGGGGCGATGTTATTAAGATGATAGTAAGCAGAGTAGCATCTTCTTTATAGTAAGTATTTATGCTAATAATAAGTAATAAGTATTTATGCTTTGCAAGTTTCAGAATTTGTACTCTTGTTGCTGGCCTTATTTTTTTGTTCTATGTTAAATCATCAGCCATACTGTCACTATCACCCTGGTATAACAGTTTTGTGAAGTATTCCAAGATTGTGCTCAGCAGTAAGAGTATTTTATATAACAGTTGCTGGGTAAGTGTGTTTATCACCCTTTACAAACCTTTGGTTTCCATTGGCAGAACAACAGCTTTGTGTTTATCACTGCCCCAGCTGTTATCACAGAATGAGATTTAACCTAAGTCACTAAAAGAACCAGACAACACCAACTGAATTCAATGACATATGCCAGATAAGATCATTCTTTATTCCTTTAATCAGCCAAACAAAACATAGTCGATGTATTTGTCTTTCTCAGTTTTAAATACATAGCTGCAAATGAGTGGCACAAAGAAGAAATAAAAAAAAACATTTTAAAGTGCAAATAAATCACAATGTTCAATCATGCGTACATAGTGTACTTCAACAAAAATCTCCAGAAACTGATCACCCGTTGATTGTCTGATTCAACTGATTGGCAAATATAAGTGTTTGGATTACAAAGCATGTGGAAAGAATATGACTAAAGTGTCAACTGGCATAATATAGCCCCTAAGTGGAAAATGTGATTCATTTCAAGTCTTGATAGGAAAGAAAGGAGTACCGTAATTTCATTACTCTTACATACAGGTAGGAGTGCCCAAACCTCAGCTAAGGCACCTGTTTGCCCTTTGAGTTCTCAGAACTCTGGACAAGAGAAACATTTCCAAGTTAGCTTCCTACTGAAATAAATGCCATATTTTCCACCTCCAAGTGCAAAACTGCTTCTGCCATGGCAAAACCCCGACAGTGTGGTCAGAACTTTGTTTCCACTGACTGAACTAGAGGTGATGAAATGACTAACCGATAGAGCAGTCTGCTCCACTGGAGAGTCTTCATGGGTGGGGTCTATACTTGGCATCAGAGAATATTGAGAGGTGTGTTTTATTTTCAATTCAGTCTGGCCCTGTTAAATATAGCTCCTCTGCATATTTATCATATCTTCTCCTCTCATTGATTCAGATAGTTGAGAAGTATTAGTCTTTAAAGCAAGTGTTAACAACTCTCCAAAACCCCTCTTCCACCAGAGATTCATACCACTGCATTTAGAGTTGGAGATCTAGGTTTCGTAGTTGTTAACATTATACCTTTACGGACTAGATACACTAGTCTACATTTTACATTTTGTGAATTTATCAACTTTTAAGAAACTTAGGCACCCACTCTCCAACATTTGACTGACACAAACCTGATGTACATTCTCTAAGGTTTACTAAGCCTTTCAGCTCTTTGAGTCATACGCAGAGGAAGAAGAGCATTAGAAAATCCTATTCAAAGCATCAGTTTCAGTATTTCTCCAGCAGATGGCAATGTGTGTTAAGCAGGGATCCCAACAACAATCAAGCAAAAAGGGTGGAACTCTTTTGCCCCTTAAGAGCTATTCTTATGCCACATAAATACAGACAGAAATCCTTAACAAAATCAAAGTAATTTACTCCTTAATCAAATTAAAATATTCACACAGGAAAGCTAATTCTTTTCTTTCCCAAGCTTCCACTGGAATTTATAGCTCTGAAAAAGGTGAACATTTTTATAATTTGACCTCTGCATAAACTTGCAAGGTGTTTAGGAACCAAATTAGATTTTGTTAGATTTACTGTGCAAAGTAAACAGGAGTTACTCCATATCACACAGCTGAGAAATTGTCTTTGTATAGCAGCACATATAGTGCTGTGTGATGGTACTGGTGTTTCAGAAATACAGGAAACATTTAAACCCATAGGACTGTGTCTAGAAGCACAAGCCTATTAAATGTACTGATGTTTTACCTTAAGCATACTCTTTAGAAAAATGACTGAGTAATGGCAAGTGCTGAATGCTTAAATGCCCTTGTATAGTGGTCATAAGAGAGAACAAAGTGCATGTTAAAGGGAAACCGTTTCTGGATACACACTGCATGTGTTGCATGTACAGTTTCTGTGTTGGTTTTTCTACTTCTTAATTTTTTCTTTATATCTAATATATTCATTGCTCAGCTAACTAAATAAGGATCTGTACCCCATAAAGCAACTAAAACAGAAAATATCAAAATGTTCTTTTGAAGAAACAAAAATTGGAATTTATGCAGAATTTATTTAGCTTTTCTGATCCACAGATCAGAAGTGTGGAGATGGGAGTTCTTTTTGACTCTTCCCACAAAGATGGGAACCAGTACATTCACATTGCCAGGCATCGAGGTCATATATGAACAAGAGAGGCCTGGAAATGTTTTTGGCCTGTGCTGCTATGGCAACACTATGTCTTCTTACCTGAAGCATGACTGTGTACTGTGATGCTTCAGACCTTGTGCTTTTCAGCACATAAGCTTTTTGTAAGGAAAATACCAGCTGAGAAATCCCTAGCAAACAAAAGTTAAGCTCTCTGCAGCTTATTCCCCTATTGCAAGAATTTGATCAAATTCAAATTTTGTTTTGCTTTGTTTTATTTTCTTGTAATCTTTACAGAGGAGTGATTAAACCTTTTTACCAATATACTGCATAGTGTAACAAAACTGGAAAAGTGACACCTTGCAATTTCTTACATAGCGTGTAACCGAGTCTTATTAATTTTATTACAAAGAAATCTCAACAGCACACTTTCTTTAAATCTACTTGGTTAATTCTGCCTAATTTAGTTCCTTTGGGATTTTAATAAATGCAACAACAATTTCAAAGGTCCTGCAGTGTATCTAATCTTATAGATTCTGATAAGACAGGCGTTACAAGCTTAAAAGTAGTGTCGTTTCAGATATGGTCCCTTATCACACTACCTAAGAAGTTTCTGACTAGAATGGTATACATGTTCGTCTATGGCCAGCACAGAGTCATAACATGTATCCTATTCAGCCAATTAAAAGACACCTTGGAGAATGTCATCTCATTAAGATTCAGCATGTCCCATTTTAATGGGAGCGAAAACAGAACCATATTTTTTAAAGTTCTAACCTAATTCTAGCATACAAAAGTAATATCAACTGCAATTTCATCAAATAACATGAATATATTAAATAAAATAGAATTAGCAAGTAGGAAAATAAATATCAATAATATAACAAACTGCTTTTAAATAGTCATTTCATATTCCTTACAATCTACACAGATGCCCAGTTACATAGGAATTCACCTCTGCTCTTTATTATGAGTACAGAGAAGCTATTAATATCTGTCCTTGGAAATCATTTGGTCCATTGGGTACTCTACAATTACACATTGCACACTTAAGTTAATATGGGTTCTTTCTGGCAAAATCTGGTAACATCTTTTGTAGTTATATTGATGTAATTCAAAGTAATACAGTTTCCTGTGTCAAACTTCAATATAGAATACTTTACAGGAACTATAGTACCAAACATTCAGCTTGTATGTTATTAAAACATAAATATCTCCAGATATGCGTTTGGAATATTTCTTCATGCCAAGGGAACAACTCACTTTGATTTTTATTTTAATATTATGTGCGTGGGATATAGTGAACCCATGACACCAAAGATTGTTGCTTCTGGCTCCAGTGGGATGCTATTTACTGTGACACAGGAGGGCAAGAGACAGGAAACTGCATTAACCAAGGCTGGAGGAGAGAGTTTTTCATTGAAGTAAATTTGAACAAACAGGGAGCGACTACAATGGCTGATTGATCAGTGACTTAGGAGAAAGGTGGTATGCAAATGAGATGTCCCTGATATTTCTCTGTTTAAACAAAGTGTTACCAAGTACTCTTGTGAAATCTAGCTCACTTTTTAAATGTAATCATAATTTATAAAATAGGATCTCTGCTGGTCCTTTAGTCAAAATCACATGCAGTCCAATTTCACGTTTCTTAAAATTTGTTTTCTTTTACTTTTGAGTAATGATTCAAACAGAAAGCAACTAAACACAATGGTTTTTCCAAGGTTATAGATTGCTGGGCTTCAGAGATAAAAATAATGCTTTGGATCTGATATGGGAAATTCTGTAAATTAATAATTTCAGGTTTTTTTAAGCATCATAAGTTGGCATCATTACCCTGTAAAGCATGAACTCCATATGCATGTAAGCCTTTACTATGAGTTAGCACATTTTCATACTGATACGTCTGATATGAACTTTATGATAACTGCATGTGATTTTTACTTAAGTGAGATCGGATATCATTTTTTACTTTGGTAAAAGTTCAGAATCTTACACACCCCATGGAAGAGCAGGTGTTGCAGTGCATGTGTGACCATTACGAGCTGTCATCTGCAGAACGCTTCTTAGAAAAGAGAGTGGAGGGCTCCCTGCGCAGGTTGGGCTGCATCTTGAACACATGGGGCCCAATGGGCCAGCGCCAGTTGCCGCGGCCTTCGGCCCCAGCAGGAGAGGACAAGGAGGAGGAAGAGGGGCAGGGCTTGCTCTGCAGCAGCTGAAACAGCATGGCCATCTCGGGACCTAGCCTCGAAACCAGGCTGCTCCTGACCAGGCTGACCGTTTCATCGTCGCACTCCATCAGGCTCTGCAGGAGCTTGCTGTAGTATCTGCCGGGACAGGTGTTGGAATTGTTAGAACCGAGAAAGCTACAGATCAACAGGCAGGACCTCAGGCTAGAGTTCTTCCTGCGAGAGTGTTGCATGTGAATTGATACAACAGAAGCAGTTTCAGGGAACAGAATAGTAATGCCTTGTTTAGAATATTGTGTATAACTGTGGTCACCATGTTATAGAAATGATAACGCTGCTCCAGAATCAGTTCTGAAAAGAGCAACCAGATACATTCCCTGCACTATCAGGACAGAGGATAAAGAATCTGAACCTGTTTTTGTCTTGATGGGAGACAGTGTCAAGGGGACCAGGTGCAAGTATTCAAAAATCCTCAAAGGCAGTGACAAAGTCAACCTAGAAGACCTCTTCAAAATGAACAGTTCTATTTAAAAAGGGGTTATGGGACTATGGAACAAGCTACCCATCCATGTTGGAGCTGCTGCTTTGGCATCATTCAAGAAAAAGCTAGATGAGATCATAGGTTCAGTTAAATACTGCCTAATGCACTAGATGGGTGGAATGGCCTCCTCTCGTTCGTAACCCTTCTTATGTTTTCATGTTCAGAGCTCACTTTCTAATGCACTGCTCTCCCAGCATGCCTCAGACAATGTGAGCTAGAACTAAGGTCTCCACAACACACTAGAGGATCAAGGCACCGAAAAATAAGCAATACACCAAGGCACCATCACATAAGCTCAGTCTAGTCTGGTTCTGGTAATTGTGCAATGATGCACTTAAACTACAATCAGGAAGCCAGATGTACCTGTTGGGAAAGTGGCTGGGCAGTTGGGCCACCTCACTGATGGCATCGGGGTTCAGCTTGGCCACCCCACAAATGTCCAGCTTGCTGTAGCATTCCTCCTGCACCTCGGAGATCATTCTCTGGAAGGTGGAGCAGCGCCGGATGGTGAGGAAGACCTTGGAGGTGATGCCATTGGCAATGCACTTCAGGCTCTCCTTCACGAAGACCTTGCCCTGTCGGACAGCAGACCTCGGTTACAGTAAGGCTACTTGGCCCAGTTCACCCAGTTACCACCATTCCCATCGCCCAACCTCTCACTGATGAAGGCGCATTCAATCATCTGTTAGCAAGCAAATTGGCTGCCCAGTTTAACATTTCAGCACAAACTGAGTGACCACTAGTACTTCACATACAAGCACATGTCTAGTGTTTTAACCGCATGTGAAAATATTCCCTAGTTTTATACCATGCATTATGCAGATCTTAAGTAATTCAGATCTTGTAGTTCAAAAGTGACTAGGATTGGAAACAAAGTCTGGAAATTTGAGCTCGTTCTGCATCTACTCAAATCCTCATGGGAAAAAAAGACTTGAAAGCTGCTTTGTCTCACAATGGCCGATTTGTCTATTGTTTTGTTTGATTGGAAACGGGATAAGTACAATTTATTCTTTCAGAGGTTCAGCTACTGTAGATTGAGCAGAAAAGCTGCCAGTTTAGCTGGTTACAGTGTGGAAGAGTTTTAGTGCATCTTTACCTGAGTGTCAAATTTAGCAGCACTGTATAGAAAGGACTTGCAGATGTCATGCATGCCATCTGTATCGCAGGTGGAGTTCTCCAGGCAGGCAAAGGCCCCACAGCCCACCTGCAGGGCGCTGTTCAGACACCGGGCCACGTCCGCTGCACAGAGACATGTCACAAGGATGAAAGAGCTCTATGATACGACAACATCTATGAGACTGTACTGAAACATGAATACAATTCTGAAACTTGGACCTTTGCATCTCGTATTGCTTTCCCATGGTAAAAATAAATCCTAAAATTGAAACTCATCTAGATTTTATGTAGAACTGAAGATTGTGTTCCTTACAGATATGCTCGCACAGTCCTTAGAGGAAGAAAAGACCCTGCAGGATCATTTTTCTGTTGGCATTTAGTTTTGGCCAAGAATTGTTGTTTCAATTACATTCACGTGTGACAAGACAATAACCTACTACTTGCCAGGCAGTTTTCAGAATTCATTATTACAGTTAGTAAATGGCACCGTTGGATGTCATAGTCCTCTCACTGTTATTTCTTGGCAAACTGTGGTGTTTTAGCAATCTTTTGCTTAGTATGCATACTTTATTAAGCAATTTTCCACAAACATTGTTACAACAGGAATGTATCATAAGTACAGCATAATCGGAGCAAGAGCAAATTAAGAACCTGAATGTCTCTAGTGTAATGCCTGAGTAACACTGTGGTTATGGAAGTCTTCCATTCATCTCCAGGTCTGGTCCCTTAAGACATGCAGTAGTAGTGAGAACAGACATTTCACCACAAGTCAGAATGTAAGAGTGCAGTCAATTTCAGGACATTATCTGATGAATTAAACGAACCACAGTGGTTATGAGCTTAACTTAATCTTGGTCCTTTATCAGTGGTCTATAAGCCTGCAAAACAGCCTGTTCATTCTTGTGTAGTGTATTCTATTGAAGGATATCCATTAGCAAGTACACCAAGTTTCATCCACCTAGCTGAGGTCCTTGTGCAGTATTCTGGCGCAGGTTGATATGCTGGCTGCTCTATCAACTGTCTAATGTAGCTCAGTGACATCATCAGAGATTTAATACTGCCCCCCTCTTCACCTAACCTTGCTGCATTATCATTATAGTTTAAAAAGGCATGAAAATAAAGCCTTGTTTTACAATAGTACAAGTCTTTCTTGGATTAAAAAACACAATCCTTGGCAGGGTCTTGAAAGAGAAGGTTGTTCAAGGTATAGACCTCTATTGTGCGACACTGGAAAGCACGTCTGTGGTATAAAGACACATTATGCTCAATGAAACATAAATAAAACCTGGCTGACTAACCCCAATAATGGATGCTAATGACTTGATGTGTGCTGACTAGCCCAGCAGGTTTGGGTTCAGGACAGACATAAGCTTCCAGTGGAATCAATAGACAATGACGCTTATTGTTTCACTCTTGGTTTGCAGCCATTGAAATGGCTGTGCAGTGCAATTCATGCCATCAGCATTTATGGTCTTGGTTTTAAGCTACTGTGCATGTCGTTCATTTATCCTACACATCTTCATGTTGATCATTCTAATAGGAAAGGAAAGGCAGGAAACGTTATGAACAAGGAGGAGGGATTTCCTCCTATCAAACCCATTTAAGACCTCCAGAGCTCCAGTGTTTTCACACAAATTATGTTTATGTTGCCTTAGCAACATTAAACACTCTGCAGTTAAGACAGGTAATTGTGAATTAATCATGGATCGACCTTCCATCACATAATTGTCCTGTTGCTAAAGATGAATTAAATAATATTAGCAAATGAATTGAACTGAAGCATTAAGGCCACCTGTCTCTGCTACACACAATGTAGCTTGATGCATTTACATCCAATCTGCACCTATGGATTCCAAGCAATACATATGGAGCCTTTGTCTATTAGAAACACATGCATTAAGGTTGTAAAAGGATGAAAAGAAGTAGTCAATTGTATCTGTTCACATGGCCTTAACACATGGTTGGTGTGCCATTTGTGTTAATATTGAGGGTGAGACAAACATTGGTGCATTGGTTGTGCATTCCCCTTGCCAATCAACAGAAAACCAATCCACACACTGCTACACTCATGCATGGCAACCTTTTGTGATCTGGGCCTAGATTAAATCAATGTACCTTGCATAAAGTGCTAAACTCACAGCTGAATGCCAGTTTTTTTATTTGATGGGTGCATCAAGGTACCAGTAGAACCTAGCAGAGCAGAAAGCCAATGACACGCATATGAAAATAGAGACTTGAGGGTGGGATGGAACTTTGATTTTTTAATTTGGACTCTTCTGTACTGATAGTCTCTGCTAATTTAAGACCCATGTCTGTGATGTACTGTAGTTTGAGGTCAATGAGGACTCGAATTGCATAAACAAGGGCTAGATGTTAATCAACCTGCCTTTCTGTATGGGAAATATCCACTTTACAAAACCCCTGTCTGTAATTCTAAAATACTGACTTTTACTTTTTGTTGGGTAACAGTTCAGATGAGAGGTTGTTAATTATATATGAAAACCATTTATGACCTTTTGTATATTAGCAGAACTTCAGTGTAATGGTAACATGGTAGGACTGTAATGTTTGATTAAATAGCTAATTATCATATTTAAGGCTTGTTAACTATTTCATCTGCCACCTGTAAATCATACTTTTAAAAATGTTCAGCATTATTAGTGGGGTCTATAGTTGTGCCCCCTTCACTTTTAAATCTGCTGCCATGTTTCATCATTTATATTGCCATGTGCTGTTCTTCATAACTGTATACATGGGAACGAAACAGACCACAATACCAACGGTCTGTCAACAGTTCAAGCAGTTCCTGGCATTCAAGCACCTACCCTCACAGCTGTAGCTGAAGAGCCAGAAAATAAATCGTATAAATGTATTAAACATGGCAGAGCGACCGTATTGTGAAATCCAGATGTGATAAATGCACGTCTAGTGCAGGCTCCTGATGTCTCAGTATTGATTGAGCTGTAGGGTTTGCCATTTGGAAGTGATTAGAGCAGTGCGTGAGCTTGGTGGACTTTATTCTCGTTTCCATGATTTACAGGAATGGAGCTTTCCCATTCCGATAGGCAGGCTGAAGCATGGAACCGGGACATGTTCCCAGAGCAGCGACGTACTGTACGACAGGACGTTCTGCAAATACTGTGTGGGGTTTCACGGCTGGTTAAAGAAACTACATGCCAAATACCGCCAATCTGGCTGCATCACAAATGTTGCGTATCGTCGCCTTTTGGAATTGAGCTTGAAAAGCATAAACACTTTCTTTTGGTTATCAAGCTTTTTTCAATGAAATCTTTAAGAGGGCATCAGAGTGAAAATGAGACCTGAAGCAGACACCCATACAAGACGGGTAGAATTTCCACTTTTATAAAGTTTATTTGTTAAATATATGGGCTTGAGATATAGTAGAAGTCACGTTGCGTGACCGTATTGCTTTGAGCAGCTGTTGACGGGATTTTCGGTTCATTAAGCTACGGTAGCAACCTTAAAGTTTGATATGCTCTCCTACAGTTAGTAACCTGCGATCAATAATGCTGTTACCTTATTGGCTAAAATATCGTTATCTCTGTTTGCCGATCTGCTATGTACTGTATATTGTCATATGGACTTCGCATTTAAAAGCCACGTCAAAAGGCATCTTTAAATGTGCATCTTAAGTTTTACCAATCAGTTCCGTTTAATAATCAAACAACATTTTGTTGGGTACTAGATGAATACAAAAAAATCCTTGCGCTTGTTTAGAAACGGTTGTACCCACAAAAACAGTTTGAATTTATTGTCTGCAGCTGGTCTTCCGTCCAGTTTCATATTTAGTGAATTGGCAGCCCTCTGTCGACGCTCGCTGGCTCTGGGCGCGCTCTTCCCGAGACCGGCGGCAGCACCAGAACACTGGCAAGCCGCAGTGTGTTCAACTACACGAGCACAAAGGAGGGAAGATGGGCACACGTCCTCTTCAATTCATCGGTCAATCAGACTATGGTGTCGAGAATGGACATGAACTAGCATAAAATAAGTCTTGGATAATAAGGCGGTTGGATAATCTAGTTGCATTAAAAAAAGGTTTCTTGCAATAAGATTGCTTACGTAGAAGTGTTTAAATCGTCCTAACCCATCACTGCTTCGGCAAGCGTTGCATCATTTTTCCAACCATCTACATTTTGTAAACTCTTCATTCTTTAAAATTGGTATATAATTATAACTGTATAACCGGACTTCGAACTTTCCGTAAACGACTTTTAATATATATACATACACAACATTAATGGCATATACTGATTTTTTGTAATAGCAGTGAACAAAGACCATTATTGTTGGATAATATACATTGAAGTAATGAGAGCATCTTCGGCTCCTCTTACTCCCTGGATCAGGTTGTCCCTCATGAGCACACCTGCACCTACTGTAGGTGCTTAATGGAGCCCATCAGCGTTACTGCTGGCTCTTCATCTATTAGTAGGGTGGAGTTTAAAAGCACTTGTCTCAAGATTGCCAGCTAAGGTTTTGCAGACTTATCCTCTAATCCAGTTTCTCTGCTATTCCGAGCTGAAGCATCAGTTTCGTGTATACTGTAGATATTGGAGAACTGTGGTCCCAGACTGTCCAAATCAACAATGCAGCTGCTGGCGCTGTCGGGGAAGTTTGAAAACTCTCAGTAACTCACTACATAAAAATCTTAAAAGCCCGCGGTTTAACCTAGTAAAACCCTCCGTATTAATTTCTCACAGACGATATTTGTATTAGGGCTATGGACCTTCTCCAGTTGTGCGGGTACTTATTCACTTTGAAGGCGCACGCTAGCACCAACACAGCGAACTTTCATATTTTGCAGACAACACTTGAAAATTACATCGATGTAATTTAAATTTAAAATAACACACAGGAAAGTGCAGCGACTTACATGGACTATGAGTGGAAACCCGCGTCCTCCGTGGTGAGAATGACTCGTTCTGGTCCAGTTCATAAGCAGAGGTAAGGAGCACAAGAAGTAGCAGAATTCCTGTCTTGCGAAGCATTTTTTCTGAAGTGCGTGAAACTATGTTTAGAAGTTGACAAAATGACAAAGATATTTCTTCTTCTTGTAACTCTGTCGGGTTGCTCTGTCCGTCGCTTTCTTTAACACACAGCAACCTTGTTCCTTCTGCGTGCTGGAATAAACCACAAGCTGCAGTTTATATAGGCATTCTCCTTCAGCTATAATATCCTGCACATCACGAGTACCTCAGGTCGGTCCAATCAGCTCACAGCATTTCACAACCCTCTCCATTCACAAACTCCCGTGACGGCTTTTACTGGCTTCGATATTTTCCACTAAATTAAACTGCCTTTGAGGAACTTACAAAAATCTTTTGTAAAGAAAATCATTCTTTTGGAAATCCAATATAACTTGTCAATAGCAAGTTAAATTAATATCCTCTTAGGGATACTGTATGTCCCTTGTGCGCATTTCAGCGGCATAGTTCTAAAATATTAGAAATAATGTTTAGTTTCAATCTCTGTACTGTGACTTGCCTTTTTTTTAACATCAACTCTCTTTTGGTCGCCAGAAAATGAAGAAAATGATTTATTGATGGAATACTGCATAGTTTCATTAACACGCGAGAAAGTGCAGGTTTCTGAACAATGTGTTTTAATTGCACTGCGCCTGAATGTGAATCCATATTGATTTATCCATAACGCAGTTCCAACATGAATTACGATTAAGCAGCCTATATCTAAAATGTAGCTCGGTATGTTGGCGACATATTAAATAGCTTTTTTGAAATGACTGGTTACACGTCTTTTATTTTTTCTCTCTGTTATTATTTTCAGTAAACGTTACTAGACCATGCAGTTGCGCATCTAGGCTGAGGTGCTCCAATAATACCACACAAACTACCATTGAGAGAAGTTATGAAAATAACTACAGTATATCGAATATAACATGATGAGAGAACAGAGCATGCGGCAGGCTGAACTGTGAAAAAGTTATTTTTCATTGCAATTTAGGTTTACATAAATTATTGCATTATTGTTTACCACCCTAAAGAGTGTGTTCTCTTGTTTGTGAAATGTTATATATTTAAATACTCAAATACCACGAAAAATGCGATTTTTTTATACCAAGGTCAATTTGACTTTCCCACTTTGAAAGTTTTGCTGCTACGTGCAGTCTTTTCCTCTGAAAGAGCGAAACACATGATGAACATAAAGCTAGTGAACCCGGATTAGATATAAAAAAAACTTTCCAGTTTTACCTCATATGGAACTAATAAGTTGTATTTTCCTTTAACTTTTTTTCACTAAACTGAAACCATAATATCATAATATACCATAATATATCGACTGAATCTGCATTGCAGTTGAATCCTTCAAGCATTTAATTTGGGGGGTATCGATTATCTATTCCTAAAAACAACCGCTTTCGTTAAACTTTCAGGTGAGTAGAAATTAGGAAAAATGTGCGGGGAGGGGGAGAGTTAAAATTGCTTAGGTTTACTAATGTATCCAAAAGAGTACGATTAATTTCAGATTTCACCTTACACTCTGATGAACTTCTACCGTTGTTATTTAACTACCAAGCAGCGGTGTGATGTAGTGACACTGACTGACATTTTTTCTGCTTCTTCTCTAATCCGAGCAGTAGTTAGCCTGGGCTCGATAAATCGCCCCACTGCGCGACGGAGAACGTTTGCTAACTAACCGAACCTGATGACTTTACTTTCGTTTTATCGATCTCGGCAGGAGGCACGGGTGTGCTGTTTCCTCATTATTGGTGTTTAAATTACTGGTGTTTAAATTCCACAAGGGTCTACGTGTAGTCCTTAAACTTTTAAAACGTGAAAGCTTACAGAGTTCATAGTCAAATATTTAGCGATCTGTGTTATTTTGAAAATGTCTTGGACGGATAATGACACAAATTATTCAAATCTCCTTCTGGGTTTTATCTCTTTGGCATTTACATCACATACAAATATTCATGAGACCTTTTGTTGTCACGAGAGAGGATTTGTTTCACTCCGAGATAAACCGGACGATTATTGACTTAAATGATGTATAGGAAACCCCATAGTTGATTTTTCTTCTTAATGCCAACAAGATACGAGCAAACCATACGCACAATCTGCGGAGTGGTCATGAAGTGGCTACGCAAATATGTTTTAAATTTTTACGTTTAATGACTCGGGTATCAGTTCCGCCTATCTAATAAAAACAGTTTCTGCTTTCTGTCTAGGCAAATTCAGCTAAACGTGTATAAAGGTATTTCGATTAGTCTCCGGAAAAATAAACGTTAATGACTGGCATAATAAGGGAACGTAAAAGCACTAGTGGATCTACAAATCTACAAGATATGCTAACAGAACTGTTACTGTTGAAGAACTACCACCTAGTGTCAAAGAATGGGCTTGGTAATACCTTCATCATTACGTTTTAACGCTAGGTTTGAGTCTGCTTTTAATCGAAGAGTGGTTAACCCTGTGAACAGGCAATATGTAAACTAATCTCATAGTGGTTGATTGTGTTTCAGGTGATTTACCGAATAGGACTGGAAAAAGCGGTCATTTTCTTTCAAGGCAGCGTTGAGATTTTAAGTATTTTAGACCCCCAAGAACGCGCTTTTGCAGTATTCCGCAGGCACCATCCGCAAAGCACGTGCTTCCCGGGTCTGTGCGCGGTCTGCAGGCAAGGCGCGTAGGCGAACTGCAGTAGGGGCAGCGGTCAATACCGGAGCGCAGGTTTTCCCACAACGGTGACAAAGGAAAGGACGGCTATAAAAAGCAGATCGACACATAGATGTATACGAAAGATCTGAATATTAAATATTATCGACCCTGTAGCTTCCCTATCAGCCTTGTCTGACAAGACGACCTGCAGCAATTGATCGTTAAGGGCAGCTGCAGCAATAAATCATTACCGTGTCTCACCCCTTTCCCAGGAATCATTGCTGATGGATTACAACGGATTCGAAGAGTAAGGAAATGCAGGAGGCGTTTCGCGCTTTACAGTTAACTGCAGCTACCACTACCAGCTTGTTCCACAGCTTTTAACTTTAATAATTACAATATTCCTTTACTTTGTTTGTGTTTACAGTGTCCAGAGGCAGACCAACAGGACATGCCAATAACCTGAGACCTGGAAGACACCAGGGCAGCTACCTTGACAATCTTTAATGTAGCCTCAGCAGTTGACTTATAGCTATGGGGGAGTGTGAAGAGGTGAGGTAGGCAGGAGGAGCGAAGGGGCGAAATTCTTATGAACATGTGCTGCAATCAGTGCGCACTTTGCAAAATAAGATCCTTATGGCCTGGTTAATGCTTCACACCTCCGTATTGCACATATGGGCAGATCTGCCAAGTGAGTGTGGAAAGGTGGGCCCCTTCTGCACAGGGGTTACTTATGGGGTCCCGTTCTTGAAAGAGCTGCTCACGAGACACAAATTGAACCAATTTTTATGTAATCCCCATATTTGTGTATCACCTATGATTTGGATATTCTCACTTCAGAAGCAACACAGCCTTGCATAATAGCACTAAATTAACAACCACCTGGCCTCCCCACTAGATGAATTAAATATTTTGCTAACTTCATTATGGAATCAACCCGACGTAGTGTACATATTCTGCTTTAGTGAGGCAGAAATTGAGTGCTCTTTTGAAAGTTGTGAACAAGGTTCTTATTTGGTCTACCATGAAACCTGTGTCGACTGTGGTCTGACCAAGACCGTTTGAGGTGATCCATTTATTCCGTTTTGATTTTGTTGGTAACATGATGCCTACTCATTGGACTCCACGAGTCTGATATGTTCAGAAAATTATTTACTTAGGAAATCATTTTTTAAATGAGAAGGTAAAAAAGCCCTTTCCAGTTTAAAGAGGAAACAATAGAAACCGCAGCGCAGTCCGTTTTCAGTGAAATATGCTATCACCATAAAGAAATGTAAACTTGCTGTGTTGTCACTGTAAGACTGCTTTGTCTTGTAGTGCTGCGATTTATATCCTCCATCTCCATAATTAACATGATAAATTTCACAAGGCCTGTTCTTTCCTTGCTTCTCGTCACATTGGAACTGCATATCCATCGGTATCTTTCTGTTCAGGTTCAAAGTTGTACTACTTGTCAGTACCTGTCTTACTGGTTTCATGCTTTTGGGGAGCAATAGTTAGGTATCTAGACTTCTTACTGGCAAGTTCAAATCCATGAACAGATCCTACTGTACTTTTATGCTTTAAACAAGGTACTCTTGAATGAGGTACCCAAGTTGTTCCAGGAAAATACCCAGCTGTGTACATACTATAGCTGTAAATATAAATCATTGTGGATAAATATGTCAGGTAGATAAAGTAGTAATGTTAGTTGTTATCAGACTGGTACATTGACATTAAAGGCAGGTATGTAAAGGATTGTGAGCACAAACTGGACATTACATTGAGTTACTCATTTATATGGCGTAAAACATATAAAGAGCCATGCGATTAAACTTCAATGAGACATAATTTAGTGTGCAAATGTTCAGTGTACTGATCAGGTCAAGACACACCCTGCATGGTACTGTACAAAGAGCTGGAAGCAGAGGTCAGTTACTTCAAAACACTGGAAGAGAGGAAAAGGGATGGATCATCATCCTAAAATATGACTTCTTTCATCTTTATGAAGTGATCAGAGCTATGGGCATGAGAGAGCGCTTTTGGCTGTTTCGAGTTGATATACAACCTGATTGCCAGCAGGCAAAAAGCAGGGTAAAACAAATGCCACCAGCATCTTGTTCTATTTAACAATGCAAAACAGTGAAACAACTTAATAGCTTGGTTTTTATGCTTTGTTTTTTATTTAGCCACTGTTTAGTGGAAAATTCTTCCAGGGCATGCCCCCCTCCCAAACCCATACAAACACATTCACACACTGTCTCCCTCACCCAGGAATATTTTTCCATTCTAATGGTGCTGTTTTATATTTCGTATTCGACATAAGTGCTCTGTTATCTTGATGAGGTGTCATTCTGGTGTAAACCGCTGCAGTGTGAATTACAGCACCTCAAAGTCTGGTAGTAAAGATGCTTTGCATGCAGATATGGCCTATATTTCTATGTTACAAAAAAATATTTTTTAAGTTTCTTTGCAAATTTGTCCTATACAAAACTAATATTAAAAACAAACCGCAACATTTCTTGGAAGT